GAAATTCCCCCTGACATCCAACGTAAATCTTCCCTCCCTCAACTTAAAACCATTTCCCCTTGTCCTGCAGTTCTCAACCCTTTCAAAGAGTTGATTCCCCTCGTGTTTGTAGGCTCCCTTTAAGTACTAAAAGGCTGCAATGAGGTCACCCCACAGCCTTCTTTTCTCCAGGCTGAACAAGCCCAGCTCCCTCAGCCTGTCTTTGTATTATTATATGAGGTATATGCATATATGGGTGTTTTGTTGGTGAAAAGTGTCCTGTAACCAATTCTCACGTTTGTTTGCTTTGCAATCTGTCCCACTGCAAAGACTGAGCACTGCTGTATTTGAATGTACATATACAAATTGAGAGGAAATTTCTGTGCCAATGGGAGCAAATCGCAGGGGCTCACAAGATACAAAATAATAGCTTTTTATTTTTCCTTTCTCTTCACAGAATCACAGAATTGTAGGGGTTGGAAGGGACCTCCAGAGATCATCAAGTCCAACTCCCCTGCCAAAGCAGGTTCCCTACACCAGGTCGCACAGGTAGGCATCCAGGCAGGTCTTGAGCATCTCCAGAGAAGGAGACTCCACCACCTCCTAGGCAGCCTGTTCCAGTGCTCCGTCACCTCACTGTAAAGAAGTTCTTGCGCACATTTGTGCAGAACTTCCTATGCTGCAGTTTATGTCCGTTTCCCCTTGTCCTGTCTCCACTCACCACTGAAAAGAGACTGGCCTCATCACTATGCCCCCACACCCCAGGTATTTATAAACCTAGATTAGATCCCCTCTCAGTTGTCTTTTCTCAAGGCTGAACAGACCCAGCTCACTGAGCCTTTCTTTCATAGGAGAGATGCTCCAGGACCTTCGCATTTTTGTGGCCCTCCACTGGACTCTTTCCAAGAGATCCTTGTCTTTTTTGTACTGGGGAGCCCAGAACTGGACGCAGTACTCCAGATGAGGCCTTACCAGGGCAGAGTAGAGGGGGAGGATCACCTCCCTCGACCTGCTGGACACGCTCTTTTTAATGCACCCCAGCATGCCATTGGCTCTCTTGGCCACAAGGGCACACTGCTGGCTCATGGCCAACCTGTCATCCACCAGGACACCCAGGTCCCTCTCCGCAGAGCTCCTCTCCAGCAGCTCATCTCCCAGCCTGTACCGGTGCATGCAGTTATTCCTCCCCAGATGCAAGACTCTACACTTGCTTTTGTTGAACCTCATCTGGTTTCTTACTGCCCAGCTCTCCAGCCTGTCCAGGTCTCGCTGAATGGCAGCACAGCCTTTAGGTGTGTCAGCCAATCCTCCCAACTTCGTATCATCAACAAACTTGCTGAGGGTGGCCACTATCCCCTCATGAAGGTCATTGATGAAGATGTTGAACAAGACCGGACCCAGCACAGACCCCTGGGGGACACCACTGGTTACAGGTCTCCAGCCAGACTCTGCACTGCCAACGATGACCCTCTGCGCTCTGCCAGTCAGCCAGTTCTCAACCCACCTCACTGTCCAGTCATCTATCCCACACTTCCTCAGCTTTGTTATAAGGATGTCGTGGGAGACAGTATCAAATGCCTTTCTAAAATCAAGGTAGACTACATCTACCACTCTTCCCCCATCCACCCAGCATGTGACAACATCATAGAAGGCCATCAGGTTGGTCAAGCACGACCTCCCCCTGGTGAATCCATGATGACTACTCCTGATAACCTCCTTTTCTCCCAGTTGTCTGGAGATGGCATCAAGCACAAGCTGTACCATCACCTTTCCAGGGACAGAGGTGAGGCTGACAGGCCTATAATTACCCGGGTCTTCCTTCTTGCCCTTTTTGAAGACTGGAGTGACGTTGGTTATCCTCTAGTCCTCCCCCATTATCCAAGACCTCTCAAAGATGATGGAGAGAGGTTCAGCAATGACCTCCACCAGCTCCCTTAGCACACATGGTTGCACCCCTTCAGGTCCCATGGACTTGTGGACCTTAGTACTGCCTCGGCTCTCAAGCACCACCTCTTTCCTGACTAAAGGGAAGTCTCCCATTCCCCAGACCCTCTCACTAACCTTCAGGGTGTGGGAAACCTGAGGGAGAGCATTTTCACTGAAGACGGAAGTAAAGAAGACATTCAGTATCTCTGCCTTCTCAATATCTCCTGTTACCAGAACCTCCCCTCACTTAGTAAGGGGCTCACATTCTCTCTAGTTTTCCTTTTGCTACTAACATATTTGAAGAAGCCTTTTTTATTATCCTTTGTCACTTTAGCCAGATTCAATTCCAGGTGGGCTTTAGCCTTCCTCTATGCATCCCTGCAGACCCTGACTACATTCCTATATTCTTCTCAAGTGGTCAGACCTTTTTCCACATTTCATGGACCTTCTTCTTTCCTTTGAGCACAAGTGAAAGCCACGAAGAAAAGGTAAGATGAGCAACCTGTCAAAGACCGAGTTTCTTAGCAGATTCCAATAAAAAGGAAAGCCTATTTTTTTGTTATTCAGTCATACAAGTAGTTCAGGAATGATGTGCTTTTACTTCTGTGATACAACAAATATTCAGGGACTGATGTGTCCTCCATGTGCAGACAGACATGAACATGTCTCTGGAAAACCCCTCTGAAATTTTTTGGATGGGATACTTAATAGTAAATTAAAAAATAATGCAATTTCTATTATTTTTTTTTTTTTAAGTCATAATTTAAAAATGAAATACTTCTTATTTTTACACCTAGAAAAATGATCTGCTTAGAATTTACAAGTGAAACAAAGCCACTTATGTTCTTGTCTTGGGCAGAGAGAGATTTTTGCTACGCTACTTTGAACAGAGCTAAAGATTTGATCCAAGTCACAATTTGTTTAAAGACTCAATGCAAAATTAGAATAAATAGAACTATTCATAATTTTTATTCTGTCCTCATATAGCAACAAAAAAGCTTCAGAAACATAATACATATATACACATAGTAAGATGACAAGCCATTTTCTTACTAGTTCTAATATAGAGGTAATTCACCAGAATTATTCATTTTAAACAACAAACAGTTTTAAAAACAAATACTATTGTCGGAAACAAAAGAAATCTTACAAAAAAAAAAAAAAAAATAGAAAAGAAAAGAATACTTTGAAATTAGAAAAAGGATTATGAGCTGCAAAGTTGTTACACAGTTGCCTGATTACAAGCTACAGAGATCAAAATCTTCTCATAAAAAATGTGCAAGCCAAGTGACAAACACATTAACAAAATAACGCGTATACATTAGCAAACTTTTTATCTGAATCTTAAAGCTTTAATCATGTACTAATTTCAGAAGACGAATAGTTGACTCACACTAGAAAAAAAAAGAAGAAAAAAATAATAAAAAAACCTTGTGAATATACTTAGCATGGCAAAATATTTGAGAGACATTATTTAAATTTAATAGGATTAGGCAACAGTTAGAATTAATGTCTTAAAAATGATATCTGAAAGAATAAATAATTATCCAACTAAAAATATCCACTTATAAGAAGAGGCTTACATGGGTCCTGAATGTTTGACACGAAACAAAACAAAACATCTAGAAGAAACAGAAATACATGTAGTGCACGACAGAGATATATGAAAAAGGCAAAGTTATAAAGATCCTTATGAATAAACTTTTGCACATTGCCTTCCCCTTTCCGTTCTCTCTCTCTTTCTTTTATCTGGCTTTTCCCTTTCTCTTTCATAGGGACTTTACACAACTTTTACATATTCCTGTTAAAACAGAACACATATTTAAAAAGTCAAAATCCCAACACAACAGAATGAATGAAAATTATCATTAGCTCAAGACTATATTAGCTCATTTCATTTTCATCTTATTTTTTATAACATTTCAAGATCATAAAGAAATATGAAAAGTATATTAAATAAGATTTTTTTTCCCCAATTTCTTGTGACACATCAGTATTAACTTTCCTTTAACATTTGAAGAGTTCCTCAGTAATAGCTCTAGGGGTCTCATTATCTTCTGGCCTGGACTAGAGCATGCTACAAGTATGTTTGAAATGAGTAATATGTTTTTTAAATCATATCAGAATGTCTGTATGTAATTTTTTTCCTTCATTCAATGCCCTTAGGTATGACACACCATTGAGTTCTTAAGGTTAGATTTTGCTTATCAGTGGAAAAAGAACATATCATTTTTTGTCTGATGTGTATTTCTCAGAACTAATGTTTTGCTGCTACTATTAACAACTGCCATAATAGACAACATATTCAGTTGTCAGTTGTAATAACTAATATAAATGGAAGATGTAACTCTTCTTATGTAGCTAAGAGTAACATCTGTAAATGAGTAATCCGTGTCATCAGCTTCTAATTCAGAGCTGTGTTTGTCAGCAGTGCTCGATAAAACAGTACTTCCCTAAAAAAAAAAAAAAAAAAAAAAAAGTAGCATTCTAGTTTATTGATTTGATTTCTAATTAAATACATTTTGTAATGGTAGGGATTCTAGAAGAAAACAAGTTTGCATACCAGTCTGTCTAGTTTAAGACAATGTCACAGGAGAAACAGTCTGTCTGAGCTCTGTTTCCTAAGAGATCTTTGTAATATGATTGTTCAATTGATTCTGCTTTTTTTAGTATGGTGGGGGGGCAGAAGGGAGAGGGAAGGGAAAAGAAAAAAAAAATGTGAAAAAAAAGAACAAAAAGAACAGACTATCTTTACACCTCGGCCTTTTAATTTCAAACATTTGTCCGGGAAACAAAAAATCCAGGATCAGTGCAATTCTGAGCAGTTAAAACCTGCATTTTCACAGCCTGGAGTGCTACAGTAATGATTCTTGTTAAGCATTTCTTGGCAACTCATCTGAAATGTCTAGACTACCTTTAATCCTCCTTCTCACTCTAAACTGATTTTCTTTCATTCCTCATCCTAAAATTTTCTCTTATAAAATCATGAAATCACCATACGAACTCTTCTACAATCCTAATCTTTCTCAACAATGTTATTTCTTCTTTATGAATCCCATATTATTGTCATGTCAATACAGATTCAGACTGGATACCTCTTGGATGCAGCTGCTTGTTTCATTCAGTTCTGCTTGCCCAGGTGCTGCTGTTTCCACTAATGCTCCATCACTACTGCTGCTGCTGCTGCTGTTCCTCCCTGCTTGACTTCTCTCCCCGCCAAGTAAGGTTTCCACCAGGCAACAATATGAAGTGCTTCCCCCACTGGCTACTGTGGTTCTCCAGGTATTAGAACAGCCTCAGCTGCTAGTCTGACAGGGACTGAACACCCAAATACAGGTTTGTACTTCCTAAAATCCACGTCAAGGGCACCCTAAGGCAGAAAATGTGTTTGTGAGAAAACAAGGCGTATGGAATCCATATTATTAATGAGTCATTACAAAACTGCATAGCAATACATGTGGTCAGACTCATACATTCTTTTGAACTTTTTTTTTTTTTGTTAAATTGACTTCTATTTTCACCTTCCTTCTTTCTTGTCTCGGGTGCTTGCCCGAATAGAGTTCTGTAGAAACCTGGCAGATAGAACCTATTTAGAAGCTATGACGTCTTTCATACCTGCTCTCTTCCTCTCTTATTCCTTGCCATCCTCTCTTAGTAGTTCCCCTTAGGATATTGTTTCCTCAGTAACCATGTTTACACTCAGTTAACAGGTTGAATGTGTGTGAGAATACAAAGGAAGAGATTAGCTTTATCTAATATCACTTAGAAAATCATAGTTAAGTCTCACACTTTTCCACCTTTGAATCAGAGAGATTTGGTTAGATTACACTGCTAATAAACCAGGGTCACTTCAAAACTCCAGGCTTATTTTGAAACCTAGCCACCTCCAAAACTATTTAACAATTTATTTCCACTGGAACTTGAAAGAGTCTGTAATCAAAATTATATACACTTCTAACATTACTTTTTAAACAACCAGAGCTTAAGTGGTAAGAAAAAAAAACTTACAGCTAGAAAATGTTCTACTACATAAGCACTCTATTTTTCATTCAAAATGCTTTCACAATTCAATAAAGCTTATGCTCTTTTTAGCCCACTGTAGTCAGGGAATGTTCTGTTCCGCTGCAGTACTATACAGTAAAGTGTATTTTGTTGCAAAAAAGATAGTATTAGCATGCCTTTTTTCTTTCTTATGTAAAATACATTAATCTAATTAGGAAAAGACATCATTGCATGTTATTACTTCCCATAATTACTAACTTCCAGTCATGAAGAATTTGCTTTGAGCCATGAAAGAATATGAACACCAACAATGGATTAACTCAAAGTTTACAATGAAACTACATATATAAAAAAACCATATCTGGGTATGGGAGAGGTGTTTTACCTTGCAGCACAGAATTGTTTCTGTTTCTGCCTCTGGCTTACAAACAAGATGGCTGTGCTCGTATTATCAGTAAATGAGTGTAAAGTCCAGTCACGTGAGCAGAAGGGTGGAGAGGAAAAGAGAAGGACAACACTGAAAAAAAACCCACAGTGTGTTGTTATACAACGCCTACACTGCTTTTTGATAAGAAACTAATTCACTGCTAGGAACGATTTCAACATGTTTTCAAAATGCAAATACATACTAACCTTAGCAAGAACTCATCTTAGTTTGCCACTGAAGATCTTCTATCAGGCTTTTCAAATGCTACTGACATTGTCATGTATTCTTGGAAAACTAGGTTAGTGCAAGAACTGCAGGTATATTTCTGCCTTCAGTACACATTGTAAACATTCCTGCAGAATACCTATACAGCAATGTTTAAAAAATTGTATTAAAACACCGTGAGAAGCATTATTTCAGATCACTGTTTTTTGGATGCCAGAGCTAATCTTGTTTTGATTACTAACACTTCTTTTATAACTGACATGATCACAGAAAATGACTACTCCCAGGAAGTCCTAATACAAAAATTCAGTCATTAAGCTTTTACTTTGTGTATTATACTCTTCCATCTACCCCAATCTACTTATTTTTAACAACAAAACTTGATCAGGAAGATATATCTAAAGAAATGCAACAACTGCTGCCAGTGACACAACAGAATCTGCAACCCTTGCATTCTAAATACAGAACTTCATGTTCCTTTCAGGCAAAATGCTGAAGCTAAATGAATGACTGGGACAAATCAAACTGAAACAATATTTCTGAATAGCCATCTACATGCAACATTTATGTTGTATTTTACTTCGCTTCAAGAAATCAGCACAGCTTGTTCAGAGCTTTTCTCCTATGTTTTCCCCTGTACTCTAAAATAATATTGTAAAATAAGAACACTAAAAGCATTTTAATTTTTCTCTATCTCAAATACAGATAATAAATGTTAGTTCTACATTACAACTTGAAAAAAACTGTCATGGGATAGCTGAAAGCATTGGAAACTAAAAATATTAAGTCCAACCAATTGCTTAAAATCTTGACAACAAAGAAAGTACTCATTTATTTTTTAATCTCTATGAAAATCATAGTTTTGATAAATCATATTTTAGAAAGTACTGAAAAGTCCTTCATGAAGGAATCACCACAAAAGATGGGAGATGCAACATCCACTGAAAAAAAAAAACAACAAAACTAACCACAACAAAAAATTTTTTACAAAATGAGTGTTTGTATGCCAAAATATAGACAAATTGAACGATAAGACGACTTATCTGCTTTAATATTACAATTCAAGGCATTCAACATACAAAATAAAACATTAGTCTTTAGTGGGTTTTTCCACTGAGGACAGTTTCCCACTCTGCAAAGTGGCTAACAGTATCTATTCACCTAAATATGAATGTCCATATGCATAATAGAGTTAAATTCTCAGAATGGGTAAAGAAAAATAGTTTTGAAAATGTGTTTGGAAGGAAAGGTAGGTACAAAAATCCCTGACTGGATTTATTGGAAGATCCTACAGCAGAGCTACAGTGAGCAAGACCTTTTGACTCAGTTAATCAAAACACCTCTCCTAACTTTAGTTAACACCTCTGCTAATTTAGTCTCAAACACAACTACGTGTTCATCTACCAGGAAATTGCATGCATCCTTGTGAAAACAAAACATAATAAAGATCACTCCCATTTTCAACTGGTAGAATGATAGAGCACATCTAAATCTTTCCACTTGTACATAAATCTGTTAATCCCAACTACGTAACAAAACTGAAATCTCTGCATTATTTTTTTTTTCATGGTAAAATCCAAAGAATGTAGCTAATTTGAGAAAATTATTCTGAAAGTTACATACATCCAGAATGAAAAGATATTGCTCTGTTGTTCCTACGATCTTCATATATATAAATTGGATTATTGGTTTTAATGGTATTTCTTCTGCAGCAAATCTTCAGTGAAAAACAATGGAAAAGACTTTGATACATTCACACTTTGGCTTAGTCTGAAAATACCAGAAATAAATTTCACAGTTGAAATTTTTTTAACCATTTAGCTACTCTGGAGGACTGTAGGAAAATCACTATATGATAAGAATTTGTGAAACTTATTGACTGCAGATGACTGTGCAATTCAGAATATGTCAAAATGTTTTTTCTTTCACTGGCCCAAACAGTTGGAAGTCAGAAAGTGCCAAATCCAGAATACACAATGGGTGTGGTAGGACAATTCAGCCAAGATTGGCAATATGCTCCACAGTCTTCAAAGAGGCATGGAGCCTGGTATTATCATGTTGCAAGAGAAAGATTGTCTTCTCTGTCTTGACTCTGAAAGTCAGCATCACCATACAGCAGAAAGAGTAGATGGTTTGTCCACGTTCCAAGAGGATCCAGAAAGATCACCCCTTTCTTATCCCCAAAGACAATGCACATCCCTGCTGAGGGATGCATCTTGAACTTTTTCTTTGATGGGAAATCACATATCTCCATTCTATGGACTGTTCTTCTGATTCCTGCTTGTAGTGGTGACACTGCATCTCATCATTGAATGATGTGATCTAGCAAACTGTCACCTTCAGCCTCATATAGGTTTAGTAGGTGCTGACAAACTTGCATACCATGTTTTTACTGTTCCTGCATGAGCATCTGTGTGACCACTGCTGTTTCTGACCTACTGAAGTAGATATTCAGCTTCATACACAGATCCCTGGTCATAATCCAGTGATATGCACGGTTGAACTAATTGAGACAGTCTTCATTTTGTGGTGTGACAACTGAGCATGGCCATGTGGAATGTGGCTTGTCTTTCAGCTTGCTGTCACCACTACTGAAACACACCACCCGCCACCTCATGGTGCTCATACCCACCGTTTGGTCTCCATAAACAAGCAAGCATTGATGAATGTCAGTGGGTGCCATTTTTCTGCATGAAGAAAGTCAGTTATGCACCTTTCCTTCATCTGCACTTCTATGTCAGATGCCATCTTGTCAGACTACCTCTCTGCTGCCATCCATTGCACCACAACAAAATGTAATGGAATATTGGCAGGAAGGTTCAATCTCTACTGCCATACCATCAACAAACAGCTTTGGCATTGTGCCCAACATAATAAAATAGGAGGCATTACTTTCAGAGCATCCCTTGCAGTATATGTTCCTGCTCTTGGCAGGAGGCTTGGAACTAGATGATCTTTAGAACTCCCTTCCAACCTCTGATTCTATGATCCAGGTTTTCCATTCACTATAGATATAGATTCTTACTATCAGATAACATTTACCTAATCTACCTCAGGTTATGTGTAAAACAAGTTCCTTAAAGAAATAAAGGTCTGACGAGACAGAAAAAATATTTCATTGGATCTACTAGATAATGAATTTAGTTATTTTTCCTGGATATGTTAATTTAGAAAAAGCAGATGTATGTGCAGATCCTCACCCTTTGCTCGGTTGTTCAAGCAGAAGCAAACACATACTTAACTAGAACAGTTGAAAACTTCAAGAGATCAAACATTTACTTTATTCCCACCTAATATAAGATCCTTTAGTTTAGATATCAGCCCAGAAAATGCTGGCAGAGAACCAGTGACAAGCGTGCCATCTACTGAATGAAGTTCTTTCCTGAAGCATACAGGCTTTCCTCAGAGTTCTTCAATGCAACCATGCAGCCTAACACTTTCTCATTTCACAACCACAACTCAAGGTGGTGAGTCTGTGGTGGCACATCCTACTTAATTGGGTACACACTCAACTTCTCTTGTTAATACCTTTTCAAAATTTGTATTAGCCTACTTTTTCCAGATGAGAGCATAGTTGTTGGGATAAAAACTATAAAAATACAACTATAGAGACAGGTTATCAAATGTGGTCATTACTCATTGCTGGTAGCAGTAACTGGACTAAATGACAAAACATTACTGAAACAGTGATACAAGTTTTCATTCTGTAATACAGTTCCTTTCAGATAGCTGCTTCATCAGGCTGGCAAGATGATAATTTTTTATATTTAAAAATGCAGAAAAATCTTTCAAACTGTATGAAGACATACAAAGCACATAATAGGCTAGATATGTTGCCACTGATCAGTCTTAGTGGAGAATAATACCAAATATATTTAAGTAATAAGGATATAGCTAGAAGCAATTATAAAGAAAATTTTAAATCAAGTAAGAAGAAACAGAAGTTTCCAGCTTTTGAAAGGAAACAGCTAACACTGAAAGAAACAAAGGGAAATAAAAAGTCCAAGTAAAGACTAATGACAAAAAAATTGCTTTAATTCTGAAATATATTCGCACTAAGATAAACCTGGACATAGCAGGTTTTAGAATCCATTTCCTTCACTGATCATAACAGTACCAATAGTCTGATCATGAACATCCATCAGTGATCTCTCTCTTTTCTAAAACACATGTAAACTTGGTTATGATAGAAGACCAGAGATTATTATTTATAGCTACATAGGCTGTAAAATTCAATTTATGTAACAATTTGCTGAAACAGCTGATTGACCTAAAATATGGAGAACAATCTGACTAAGCAGAGGTAGAAATATTCCCAAGAACTACAAATAATTCATTACTCAAAAAAAAATAAAATTGTGCTTATTGGAAAAAATTAGTAATTCAGTACTCACGGTAATTCAAAGGAATATTGTTATCTGTGGCAATGAAGACAGCCTATTAGTATGAGGTGACCTTACTATTTGCTACTGGTAAAACCCAAGGTTGTAAAATTTGATGTATCCAGTGCTGGACTTCCAAAGGTTAAAGAAACATGTTAAATCTAAAAAAATAAAAAATAAAATAAAAATCAGAGGAACAACAGGGGCTATCTAAGAAGGGTAACAAAGTTGGTGAAGGATCTAGAAGGCAATAGGTGTGAGAAGTGAGTGAAGTCCCTCTATTCAGCCCAGAGAAGAGCAAACTAAGGGAAGGCTTGATGGTGGCCTATAGCTTCCTCATGAGAGTAGTGGAGAGGCAGTGCTGAGCTCTGCTCTATGGTAACAATGACAGGACCCACAGGAACTACATTTAGCTCCATGAGGGGAGGGTCAGGTTGAGTGTTAGGAAAAGGTTCTACACCAGAGGGTATCTGGGCCCTGGAATAGGCTCTCCTGGGCAGTGAACATGGTCCCAAC